ACATCAGCTTAGTTACTTTCTCTTTATTTTCTCTTTTCTTTAATAAATTTTTTTTCTATTTTTGTCTAAACAAAATTTTTTTATCCCAACAATCCCGGGAAGGCAAGTGCCCCCCCCCCCCCTTGCGGGCGCCCTTGGTAGTATTAATCAAATAATTTAAAAATTTAAATAATGAGATCATAAAAAATGACAACGTGTCTGTTTGGTCACATAACTTTGGCCGCAAATGGTTACAAAAGTAGCCTAACGACGAGAACACGAGCTCTGACTCCACACTGGTCAGAGGAGTAGACCTTAGGCCGGCGGTTCTCAACCTGTGGGTCGCGACCCCTTTGGGGGTCGCACGACCCTTTCACAGGGTCGCCTAAGGCCATCTGAAAACACATATACTCTACAGCAGGGGTCGGGAACCTATGGCTCGCGAGACAGATGTGGCTCTATTGATGACTGCATCTGTCTCGTAGACAAATGTTCGATTATAAAAAAAAAATATTTCTTTATTAGGAACAGCATAACAATGTTATTAAAAAGAATTCAGAGACATAATTTTAGCATTTTTAGTGTTGAAATTACACAAAATGCACACATTTTCTTGAATTTTTAGGTTTAAACATAAAGTATGGCTCTCACAGAATTACTTTTCAAAATATGTGGTGTCCATGGCTCTCCCAGACAAAAAGGTTCCCGACCCCAGCTCTACAGTTATAAAGTATCAACGAAAATAATTTTGTGGTTGGGGGTCGCCACAACATAAGGCCATAAGGAACTAACATAAGGAACTGTATTAAAGGTCGCGACATTAGAAAGGTTGAGAAACACTGCCTTAGGCTATGACGCAATTTAAGATATTTTCTTCTTGAACTGCCATTCTCAAATAAATTAATTTTCAAGTAACTTTAGTAGCTAGAAGGTTCACGCATTGCTGTCGCTAATGTTTGACTAGCTATAACTAGTGGAAATATATTCGACTCGCCGTAAACCAAGTCTTCTGGCCAGATATCATATTTTACACGTCCTAAACCAAACATGTGGCCAGACATTATATTTTACTTGTTATATATATTATAATATACACTGCGGTTTTTTTTATAACGAAAATTGTTTTGAATATTTTACGTTACGTCATGGCACGCCCATTTTTCATATTTTTAAATTTCACGCAAAACAAATTCTTAACGTTCAGCTCCTCCAAAAATTAGGGGGAACACTGCTGAGCAGTGAAAGATGTCGATTAAGTGAAGTAGGTTGGCCAACTGTGCACAGGTTTCCTAAGGCTCAAGAGAAGCTTCTGTGTTTCATCGGAATCGTTGTTATAAATAGTAGGCCTACAGCTAGGGTTTATTTGTTGGCTGTGCAGAAGTGTAGATGAGCACCCAATAAAGCCCAAAGGATTCGATAACTGAATGTAATGAGTGATGTAGACGAAATTTTAATGTTTTATTTTAATTAATTGAAACAAAAATTCTACATATACTTTCTTTGCGTACTGCATTTTAAGAAATGTAATATTAATTTCTACTTTTACTTTCAGGGCTTGAAACTCGTCTTTGATAGAGAGACTTTTGTTTTCAGTTGTTTTTTTAATATTTTGTAAGCGCTACTTTTTAGCAGGGGTGTCATTTCAGTTTTAAACGGGGAGGAGGGGGGAGGGGGAGAACTTGGCCGGCTTGTTAAGTTGCTGTGGATGCGCCACAGTACAGAGCAATTACAAATAATAATTTGTATATTAATTATAATCGACAAAAGCAGTATGATGTACTTTTTTCAATCTACAAAATTCCAAAGCTCTCATATGAGCTCCCCACCAACCCTTCTCTCGTCATTCACCGAACGAAGCAGACGCGATGTTGACAACTCAGATGTGACATTTCTTTCAAGTGAACACGTGACAGACGATCAACTGAGTGATAGCTTCACGTTGTGCGACAAAAAAAAAATGATTTGACAAACAAGATGGAAATGCGAGTAGAAAGTCAAGCTACACTACAGCAGCTTACAATTTTAAAAACTATGATTCATTTGGTAGATGTCGGCAGCTAATAAAGATACATATTTTAAAAGGTAATACCCCGTTTTTTATTCGTTTTTTCTAAGGTTGCGCTGTCCGTTTGCTTGCTAGTGTGTTGTGGAATCTTGCATCTCAATTTTGACCCACTTCCTGGCGTTCAGTTGAATGAAACCTTATCAACTTTCCCGATCACAATAAAACCCGCTACGATCAGTAGGTCACCGGTGACCTCCACTGACTCTTGAGTGACCTTTTCGGGCCAAATCTTCCATTTCAGTTTTGATCCAGTTCCTGGCCTGCTAATATTCATGATCAGTAGGTCACCAGTAATCTCCACCGACCCTTGAGTGACATTTGTGGATATCCTGGGAACGGAAAGCGACTGGGACATTGGTTTTCACTACAGCTTTTCCTGATGCATACAAGACTGTTTGTGGGAACTCACATTCCATGATTAAATAATCTTTATAATAAAAAATGCTTCACATAACACTTAAGCCTACTTGCAGCAATGCAAAAACGTATACATCTATCAAATATTGTATTTTGTCAAGTCATACGACATCATTGTCTTTCGTTAGGATTACTTAAGATTATATTAATAAGATGATAGTGTCTTGAAGCCTTCAAATCTGATTCCTTCGTGATCGCTACAAATATTCTTTCTCTCCATTGGGTGGAAACACATTTTAAAAAATGAGACTTTTTTTTTTAAATTGTTGTTACGCCCTGGCTCGTATCCGCAGTGTATTTTCTCAAAATTCCAGTGCCGGGTGTACAAAAACTTCACACGTCGCATGACTGCTAATCAGGCCCCTCTACAAGTAAATATTTTGGAGCCCCCTTTTAAATGCTTGCATCCCAAAATAATTTTTTTTTAAAAGCCTTTGTAGCTTGCTAGTCTCCCTACTGCAAGAGAATGAATGATTTATTTAATTTTTTTTAAAATCCTATTTAAATTGTTATCTCATTTGGTGTATAGCCTTTCAGAGGAAGTGGGTATGGATATAGTCTATATATCCATTGAGGCAGCCATGGCAGTGTAGGAAAAAAAATGAGTCAGAAGTTAGAAGGGTAGTTGGCTGTTACAAAATATCGAGACTATTAATCAATAATCAATTATCTATATATTTCAAAAACCTACGTGATCTTTCTTAATGATATTCTGTTTACAATATAGTGGTGTTTATGTTAACACTATTAATGTAACATTTTAAACCCACATTTCTTTGAGAATTTTTACTGTATAAAAACTAAAAAACTTCATTTGGTTCGATGATTTGAAATGTGAGCTTTTTTTCTCCCAGCATTGTGATAAAACTTGATCTGATTCTTAGAGTTTCAATAGTAATCAATAGTATCAAAATACTTCCATTTGCTTCTAGAAGTCTCTGTAGGAGTTGATCTTAAATTTAAATGTATTGGGGCCGCAGGTTTAATTTTATTCTTTAAAACGGGGCGCGTCTCAAAAAGAGGATGGGAACCTGTGATATAAATGTTGGACACCTTGGAAGTTGCAATAATATAGTTATTTTTGCGTAGGCTCTTGTGGAGATGGTTTTTGCAAGCCAGGTTGGTT